TATATATATATATATAATCAAAGCAACATTACATTTATTATTTTCAAATTTAGCAGACTAAACATTTCACAATAATGTTACAATTCCTAGACTGACATCTCAGAAGATATAGCTAGAAAGAATACATTTATTTAAACATGCTCCTACATAATATAAATTTTCAAAATTAGGTTTTAAAATGAATTTATCGAAATTCTAGTAACTCATTGAAGTGAAATCGATGTCTCTTCACAACTGTTCACTGATCAGATTTAGATATACAAATCATGTATATAGACGAGGCAAAAGTTACTTAAAAGTCAGAGGATCTGCTTTCGGTCAAGCGCAAATAATACATTGTATAGAGGAATATAGACCTTATTGTATACATGTGTACAGAAAAATAAAGCGAATACAAAATGACACTAATCGGTACAGCTTTTCTCGATATTTATAAAAACATTCATAACTTACAATACTACGCTGAGGCTGATTTACCTAAAGGATATGAGAATATTTCCTCAAATATAGAGTGGAAATTATTTTCAGATTTCCAATGATGTGAAAAGTAAATCCCTGTTTATTTATTTATCGTGCACATGACTGGACAATTGACGGGAGCACAGATAAAAGTTGTTAGGTGAAGATTTGTAACTCTTTTAGTATAGAAGTCTTAATATATTTAAAATTGGTTATCTGCCAGTTTGCAAAAGTTTATCTGGTACCATTTTCATGGGTTAATGTATTCGCTTTATAACATAGGGCGAAATCACAAGGCTTTAATGCAAGGAAAATATATTTATTTTAGCCAAGTGACTGTAATTTCTAATCTGTTGGACTCAACTGAAAATAAAAAGGATCTTTATCCAGGTGTATTAGCTTTCTGAACTGAGCAAATTTAAAAACAAACTTGCAGAGTTGAGTTAATGGAATATTTATATATCCCCATTGTGTGGGGGTCAGATTATATACACAGATATTATTATTATGTTAATTTAAAGTAAATTTATTTAGCTCGCGGTCTAATTTCCAAATTGTTTTTTTTTTGTCTCAGATCTTTGGCTTAGTATCATGCAGAAATGCAGGGCAGGGTTTGCAGAGAACGATGTTTCTTTATCAGAAACAAATCTTTGCAGCCTTTCTAACAGAACGATGGTTAATGGTGAAAGAGTATTTGTATGATGTAAAATGACATTGCCGACCAAACAGTGAAAACTTGTGGAATTCATAGAGCAGCCATCGCAGCGCTCAAAGCCCGACCGAACAGCAAATTCTAAAGTGTTGAAAGTGCTCTGCAAGTATAACATATATTTGAATAAGAAAACGTTGCAAAAATGATAGACTTTGTAAGACCCAGCGGAGTTTGGAAGTGTACCATGAACTTTTACTTGTATTATACATATCCGAGGGCTGGTCCATAAATGTAGCCTCCTGGAAGCTGCAATACGGGAGTGGGACACATTGCGGGTCTGCAAGATGATCGCATTCTAATTACATGCCGGGGATGCTCTGTGCTGCTGTTATCAGCCTCTGCAGACCAACACCCAGCTTTAGATATGCTGTGAGACTACTTCTTCTGTACCACTGTGTTTTGTAACATCTCTCTGAAATATCTATCTATCTAAAACAGTTTTATCTATCTATCTATCTATCTATCTATCTATCTATCTATCTATCTATCTATCTATCTAAACAGTTTCTATCTATCTATCTATCTATCTATCTATCTATCTATCTATCTATCTATCTAAACAGTTTCTATCTATCTATCTATCTATCTATCTATCTATCTATCTATCTATCTATCTATCTATCTATCTATCTATCTATCTATATCCCATATCTATCTATCTATCTATCTATCTATCTATCTATCTATCTATCTATCTATCTATCTATCTATCTATCTATCTATCTATCTATCTATCAATCCAGAGTATGTTTGCTTTGTTAAGTGAATTTTCACCTAGTTTACTAATTATGGTGAAGCTAAGGGAAATTTACTTTGCAAAGAATGCCCAGTCAGGTGCAAGGAAAAAAAAAACATTTTTACTTAAACATAATTGGATGATAGAAGTCAGCACATGTTCTATTTATCCGCTAGGCTAAGTAAAATTCACTTTGTGACCAAATTAATTTTTACTTTGCAAAGGCAATTTGTACTTGGCTTAGTGAATGAGGCGAAGTTGTACTGACTTCAACCATCCAGTTACTGTATGTGCAAGGAAACATCCTTGGATCAGATAGGGAAACATTCACTTTGCAAAGTGAATATGCTCTTTTTCTTTCGATACAGAAAGTAAGGTTGATTTACTATC